TACACTTGTAATTAATCTCAGTGATGCACATGTTATTCAGCAGTTTGCTTCAATCAGTACCTTTATTTAGTTTTCATTGGCTTCAACTGGCCATCCAGAACATGGTGCACCTTCAATATTGAAATTGCCAGAATGAAATTTTGTAAACCAGTTTTGGCACTACCTTTCTCTCAACACATCATCTCCATACATGTACCACAATTTTTTTCTTGCTTGAACGGCATTTTGATTTTTTGGTAATAAAAAAGCAAAATATGCCGAAAATGATGCTTTCGATCTTCCACATTTGATGGAACACAAAAAATAAACAATTGCACAGAATCAAACAAAGTTTTTTACAAATAAGCCTTAAAATGCTAGCTGTCAAAATATATAATGATGATAAGGTTTAGAATGAAAATGGTGGGAAAAATATGACTAATCCGTCTAGTGGTAAAAAAAACGAACTTACTTTCCAAACAACCTAATAATAATAATAATGTATTTCCTTTATTCTAGAAGCTGTACTAAATTAAAATTTAATTATATTATTATTTTTTTTGAAGGAAAAATTTTTTAAGCAATTTAAGTATTAAGTAACAACAAGTTAGATAACTAATATAAAATGTCAGGAAACAAGAGTATTATACTACAGCATCAAATGAACAGTGTCTTAAGACATTTAAAAGTTAATGTTCATTACCAACTCATTTAAATCAATACAATTTAAATAGTACAACAAAACATTATTATTAATGCAAAAAGCATCTCTTGGTCCAGACACTCAAACAATAATTTTTGTTTTGTATTACAAGACCAAGTCTAAGATGTATTTCTACTTTGGACAAATAAAAATAATTTTGAATAAGTGCATCTTAGAATCAAAGAAATACAGTAATTTATACTTTTATAATTACAGTATAGCATTGATTATCTGACTCAACTGGGGACTGGGGTTGGTTGGATAACAGAAATCGGATAACCGAAAAATATGAAAAAATACATTATTCGTATAGTATATCCCATGTAATTAGTATATCGCTATTAACCTACTTCATGTTGAATTTTCATTGATGTTAAGCCTAACAAAAATTTTTTAAAATAATAATCATCGCTATTGTATCGTTAAAAATTAGAAAATTAAGCCTCGTTTAAATACTGGCTCCCTTTCATGGTCAAGCCAGTGTTACCAGCTAAAACACACAAAAAATACTATTAAAGTAACCAAGACATAGCCAAATATTGTAGCGCCACATCACTAGCTGACATTTGAATTTGCTGACTAGAAAGCGGTCGGTTAACCAATGTGACAGTTGATCGGGGGTCAGATAATCGACGCTCTACTGTACTAAATAAATATGGTTATTTTAATTAATATCAGCCATGTTTGTTAATTATATATTCATTTCTTCTAATGTTCAAAAATTTTATTGTATCTACTTTTTAATATTTATTTCATTAGACAAATGAAATTAAAGAATATTTATATTTTTATTAATTTATACTTAATTTGAAAGATGTTACAATTTTCCTTAATTTAGTTGCAATTTTTTCAAATGTATTTGAGGCTAAATTGTACTCAATTCAAAAATATTAAAACATTTAAAAACAAACAGCTTCTACAAAGATATTTTTGATTTTGTTAAAGGAATACCAAATATATATCAAAATAATTTTGTCTTTATGCATTAAAAATTTTGCTATTAACTTAAAACATTTGTTTTTCTAATAGTGTATTGATGGAAATCATAAGGATCTGTTCAATTGTTTATCTTTACTACATTAAAAAAATCATGTAAATATTGTAAACAAATGATTGATCTTTTATCAATATAAATTTGTCTATTATTGTAATGTAAAAACTTTTTTAGATCACATATTCATTTGCTCTTCAAGATATGTTTTTTCAATATTGAAATGAATTTCACTGTTAATAGTTCAAGATCTTATTTCAGTGACATGTGATCTTTTTTGGAGTAACATTATGATAAAATTAGTTTAAACTGATAATCTTACACAAAGATATTTTTAAATATTCTTGACAGAAAAGTTGTTTTGTATACATTTCACTTATTATGTTTTTAATGATTCCCTTATTTGTTATATTGTATTTTAAGAACCATAAATTTAATTTTTGAAATTCATTTTTACTATAGCAATATCTTTCCAATCAAATACTCTTAAAAATGTGATTTACATCACATCTACATTTAGCAATAAACTATATTACTATATACTAAAACATATAAACATATGCTCAGTATATATTGTATATTGTTTATATAAGACACTATGATAATTATTAATACATAACATAGACAATTTGAAAAAAAAATCAAAATTATAAAACAAATGTTTCTACTTTATCCTACAAAAAAGGTTTCAATCTACTTTTATACAAAAAGCATTTCTAAATTTTTTCCATTAATTACATAATTCTTTTTAATCTCAATACTCTGAAATAAATTTACAAAAAAATAAAATAAAATAAATAAGACACCATAAACTGTTAAAATATTAACTATATGCTTATCAGGTTCTAAATTCAAAATAAATACTAGTATATAAATGCATAAATTTTAGGTTGCATAAATAGACAAATACAAATTCAAGAAAAGTAGAATAATCAATAAAATACTATACTTACTGTTTTGTTTAGTGTTTTTGCTCACTAAAAGAAAATAGATTGTTTCTAGAGTATTTGGTTTTGGGTTTTATATTTTCATGATGTTATACTTATTCACATTCATAGTGCAAGAAAATCATAAAAAAAACAAATTTTGCATACTTCTCATTTTTATAAGGGGTACAGTTAAATTTCTATTAGCATTCTATGATAAAAAAAATTTACTGAGTCAAGTGCAATTTCCATTCCCACAGACCATGCTCTATTTTCATTGTGTTTATATGGCTAGCATGTTGCTCCAAAGTAATAAAGCACACAGATTTCAATGTGCAGGTATCCTTGCTTAACACAGGATTTGATTAACACACAAAATTAATTGCAATAATCTCTTTATATACACAGCAGAAGTTTTAAGTTATGTGACTTACCAGCTGACTTTACATAACATAGATATTGTATTTTGATTAATGCAGTAGGATCAAAGAATTAACTGTGTTAATCAAGGGATATCATATGAAATGATGCAACACACCTAACAATTTATCAATTAAAACAATTTTTTAAAAAAGTTTTAATCTTAAAATTATTATTATATAGAAAAATTTTAATTTTATTGTATTTTATTTATAAACTTTGTACAGTATGTAAAACTGTTATGATTTATAAATAGAGTAAAGTCAAAAAAATCCTGTTACTGTGTCATTTTTAATTTAGTGAACTAATTAAATTTAAACATTGCTTTTCTCCAATTTTATAAATGCACTTAATACTACAATATAATAATCTTTATCTTTAATAATAATAATAATAATAATTTACTTAAATAATCTGCAAACTATAAAATAAATATATACTGAGTGGCCAAAAAATTACACACACCCCTTATTTGAAAGTAAATCAGTCCGACAGTGATGTAGAGTGACATAACAATGCAGAGTTGCTTATATAAGGTATGCTCAGCTTCAGATGATGCAGTTATCATGGAAGTTAATGCCAAAATGAAGACAAAAGATTTAAGTGACTTTGAATGAGGAATGATTGTTGGTGCAAGAAGAGCTGGTGTCAGCATATCTGAAACAACAACTCTTAGGATTTTCTTGCCCAACAGTATCTCAGGTGTTTAGAGAATGGTAGTTGAGAAAAAAAAACTTCAAGTGATAAGGACAATTCTGGTCGAAAAAGGCTTGTGAACGAGAGAGGTGAAATGTGATTAGCACGCACAGTCCACAGCAACAGAAGGGCAATTCAACATGACAAATTACAGCTGAATTCAATGCAGGTGCATCACAAAGCATATCCCAATGCACAACAACAAAACACACTTTGCAAAGGATGCGCTTTAGCAGCAGGAGACAATCAAAAGTGCCTTTGGTATCACAGAAAAATAGGAAAAGGCATCTGTTGTGGGCCCAGGAACAAAATTGGTCACTTGAGGACTGGAAAAAAGTAGCCTGGTCTAATGAATCTTGTTTCCTGCTCCATCATTCAAATGGCAGGATCAGAATATGGCACAAACAGCACAAATTCATGGACCCCCTCCTGCCAAATGACAACTCTTCAGGCTGGTGGCAATGGAATTATGATGTGGGGAATGTTTTGCTGGAGTACACAGGGTCTGTTGATATTTGTGGACACATCTCTGAATAGAACAGCTTACCTCAACTTCATTGCCAATCACATACACTTGTTTATGGCTGTAATGTTCCTTGATAGAGATGGTCACTTTCAGCAGGACAATGCACCTTGTCACCATGCTTGATTGGTCTCAAATTGGTTTGAGTAACATCAATCATAGTTTAACCTGCTTCCATGGCCAGCTCAGTCCCTTGACCTGAATCCTGCAAAGCATTTGTGGGACAAAGTCGAAAGACCACTTTAAAGCTTGGAAACGCCACCATCCAATTTGACCCAACTTAGAGTTGTCATTATGTTAGCATGGGCCAACTTTCCTCAGCAACAGTATCAGCAACTTGTTGAATACATACCAAGAACAATACCAATTGGCTGTGATCAGAGCTAAAGGTGGACCAACTCATTATTAGTGTGTCTCTCTAATTTTTTGGCAACTCAGTATTTATTATATTACACTATACTAAGTTTTGATAATTACATTTCAATCAACACCTAATTGTATATTTATCTGTTATAAATCAAATTAGAAATGATCTTTAGAACAGATAATGAATTAACCATATAAATCTGTTGTATCTCTACATATAGAAAAACTATAAAAATTGATTTTGAATAATAAATGCATTTTAATTAAAATTTTCTTGAAAATTTATTAAAAATAATTGTTTTGTAAGAATTTTAATTGCTTTAAAAAATAAGAGCGTTGAATTTATTAATTTTAATTTAAAAATTTTAAAGTCTATAAATTAATAATAAAGCTTACGTGTCATCATATAACAGCTGTGTCCATTGTCTGTAAGAAAAAAAGCATCCATTTATTTAAATAGTGTTCCAGGAAAAAAGAAAAATGTTAATTTTGTCTGTTTTATGCAAGAGTCCATTAATTCATTTAAAAAAATTCTTGCACATTACGGTAGAACCTCGAAAACTCGGCTCTCGATAACCCGGCACTCCGGATAACTCGGCCACACCCTGGCAGGGCAAAAAAATCCTTAGTTAATTAATTTTCATTATAGACAGCTTTATAAAAGTATAAAAGCTCTCATAAAGTATTTTTCTGAGGTCTGTCTTATCAGGGTAAATTACTGTACACAGTGTATTCATTAATTTTCATTTTCATGTAGTAAAGGCTCTATGCCTTCACAAAGGACATACTTTTCCTTTGTTTAAGGGTATTTGGGCAGTTTATTCTCTGTTATATTCTCAAGTAAACAATACATACAAGTACAGTACAGTATTTTCTGAGGAAACTCTCGTACTTATTTTTTTAACCCCATTCCCGATAACCCGGCATTTTCACAAACTCGGCCACCCTTCAGTCCACATTAGGCCGAGTTTTCGAGGTTCTACTGTATTAATAATCAATATAAATATTATAACATAAATTTGAAATCTTATCAATAATTATAATTACTACTATTTGAATTATTAAATATCAATGTTCCATTTTAATTAAAATTTTTCCAATTAAGATGACTTTTTTCAGTTTGTTTCTATAACTAAATACTTTCCAATACTTTCACATTCATTTTCTTTACAAAATAGTTCACTTAACAATTTTGGATAAAATAATCTCTCCCATATGTTAATAAATATACTTTTCAAAAACAAATAATATGCTGAAGAAAAATGTAGAATATCTACACAATCAAACAAACGTGACAGAAAACATGGAAAAAAATGTAATATTTCTGGATTTGAATGAATTTATCACTGAAAAAACTTTATATGTCTATTTTCAGAGTCAAGCATTATAAATCACCTTACCAGTTACGGTATGTAAATGTTATTGAAAGTAGATAATACTATCATAAAAAATTTGTTTCTTCTGCTTATGAGTAAGTAATTCTTCGTATATTATTAAATTTACAAAGACTCCTTAAAAAAACCTTAAATGATCCTAACCCAAATCCACAGACTAGTTCTAAACAGTTTGATAAATGTTCTAAAGATAGATAGTAATATGCATTTATTTTTTAAAAACACTGACAGAATTGAGTTTTGTTATGAAATATTATTTTTTATATAATTAGTATTTATACCAGTGTTTCTCAACCTCTAACGAATCATTGCCCCCTTCAATAAAACCGTTACGTAGTATCGCCCCCTTTACTATAAATTCCGATGCTGAGGGCGAAGGCTAACGCCAAATTCGTACTGCATTGAATAGACTAGTGACTAGGATAATGTTATTTGTTTAATTATTGTACGATATAACGAATAAAATATCTAATTATTCTTAATATAATGTTTTACTATATCGCCCCCAAAATATAAATTGTTACTATTCGCCCCCTCAACATGAAAAAACACCCACATGGGACCCCTGTTGAGAAACAATGATTTATACAAATTGCTTCTATTACAGAGCATGTTCAATTCCTACCACAAATTCAAATTTACACTTCTGAGCACTATGAATCATTTATAGGCTCACTAACAGAAAGCAGTTTGCAGATTTAAAATGAACTTTTCACACAGCATATCATAGTAATAACTTTTAATGGTTCTCCTAGTATTTTTATTACGCTCTGTAATTAACTGTTAAAAAAATTAACATGTTAACTGCCTGATGTAATATGATACTTTGGGTCATGGGGGGCAAAATGAGAAAATTTGATATCAAATATTTTATTTTAATGCAAATAAAAGGGTCGATATATACCAGTCAGGAGAGGGGAGATAAGAAAGATATATGCACAACGACGGGTGGTCGTATGGCCTGGAATGCGACGACAATCGCACAAATGTGGAATTAATCAAAAAATTTGAATAATTCGCATTATATTCAGGTTTTCCCGCAATTTTAGCTATGATTCGCTCTTTTGTAGGTCGATTGACTTTGTTTAAGCCAATAACTTTTGTTACCACTCCTGGGCCATAAATATTTCGGTAATTACACTCCCCTACCATTTACAGTAAATCTACACAGTACACAGTTGAACACAATCAAAGGGAAACTCCTTGTAAAGTTTTATTGGGTATCTTTTGTCTTTGTTGACATTACTGTAACTAATCACAGACTTGTGAAAGGAAAAATTGCTGTGAAAAGTCCCGCCTCCAACCTTCAAAGTAAAATGTAAAAAAAATCACAATAAATTCACTTTTTAAATCGTTTTTTAGCTCTAACTAATTTAACGTTTTAAGACATTAAATTAGCTAATTTGACAATATTTAATTGTATAAATATGTTTCTAAACTATCTAGCAATAAATATTCCCGGGAAACTCCACCTCTCTATAGTAAGTCTATGGAAGACATTCTTGCTGTTAATTGGCTTTAAAATTTTTGTTTCTATGCCTAGTACACTCTAATTGGTAATTTATATTATGACTGAATCAACTTCAACGAATGAGAATGTTTTCAGAACCATCTGGTCTGGATTTTCCCGCAAAGAACCAATCCACATGATTGAAGTCATTATGTAAACAAACGTTAAAAAATAGCTATATTCATTATTTTAGAGCGTAATTCTACTAGTTTTCATGTTATTTGACTCTACTTAGACAAGAAGATTTTTTTATCAAAAGCTTCCAGCTGAAAAATTTTCAGGGAAATTCATTACTTCCAGATATTGCGTAATCGCAGGAAAAAATTAACTAATCATTTATTATAGGGTATTATTATATAAAGCGTTGAAAAAATATGTAAAGTGTCAAATATTCACTCTTATAAAAGTATGTTAATAAACTTTGACCTAAAAATACCCGAGCCACCACCCGCTGTTAGTCATATAGGGAGACAGAGTACATTGTAAACAAGGACTTTACTCAGAACTGTTTATATATATGTGAGGGCAAAGTTGAATTTTCACAGTTACGTAATAAGAGCAAATACGTAAACAATTGCTTGCAAATTTGCATTGTATAATCGATTACTGCAATAATCATCAAAATAATATAGAAATACTTTTTATTCTAAGTAAGATTTATTTTGTATCGGTCGTACAGCTCACTAACGGGAGATTACTTTCCCTAAGGCAATAAATTTTACAATTCCACTCTTATTAGACGTCCTTCCCTACCTAAAAGTTTTTACATCTGTGTTTTCTTTGTCTTGTAATCTAAGACCCCTGTAGGAGAAAGTACATGTGTGACGTAGGGTAATAAATAAGGATGCACCGAATAATTGGTAAGTAATCGGCGGTATCGGCCACTTAGCCAATTAATCGGTATCGGCCATTCCCCCCGATTAATCGGTTTTGATAATTGGCCAATTTCACATTTTGGTATTTTTGTTAAAATGTTACGTACAATGCTAGTAATAAAAACTAATAAATTTCTGTTATATATTTATTATTTATTACATGATAATCTGAATATTAAAAAAATTTTACTAATCAAATTATTCCTTTTATCGATACATATTATAAGTATAATATAACGTATAATATAAAGTTTAAACTTTACATGAGAAAAAGTATTGAATAGATTAAGAAGAAAAATTAAATTTTTATTTGTTTCATAAGCTTAAAGTTTAAACATATAAAAGAAATAAAAATTAAATATTTAAACTGTAAATCCCTTAAATTACAATTTAAGGGTTCTACAATGCAAAGCATTGAGAATTTCATCATTTTCAGGGCATAACCTATTTTTTGCCGGCACATAAATGTTACCTCCAGTGCTGAAAATTTTTTCACTTTCAATGGAAGATGCTGAGGCACTTAAATATTTCATAGCTATTTTGCTCGAATTAGGGATAAATATAAATATGTTTCTAATTCTTGATTGAAACGTTTGTTCGTCTCTTTCGTTTTTTTTTCTTTCTTTTTAAAAACACGCTATTCTTCATTCTTTCGTTTACAAGAAGCTAATTCATCAAATAAATCAGAAAAACTTAGAAATTCATCTTGATCACCTCCAGAAGTACAAACTTCAGAATTTAATTCTTATTGAGATTTCCTCTAGCACAGCGTTTCTCAAAGTGGGTGATAACGCCCCCTTGTGGGCACTGGAGGCTTTCAGGGGGGCAGTAGAAGGCTCAAAGAGAATTGGGGGGCATCAAGGAAATATAGAGGGGCGACGGCAGACAAATTCTATATATAAAAATTCGACAAAAAATATATAAAATGTTGACATTTCATGTATTTTTTATTGAAGGTCACAACTTGAATATTTCTAACACATTGACTTTTATTTTAGCTCAGCGTTTCTCAAAGTAAGCAATAATGCCCCCTTCTGGCGCGATGAATAGATCTATGATAGAGGCAGGGTATTGAACAGTGACCAAAGGCAAAATTGGGGCTGATAAGAGGAAACATTGCGTTTAATGGTTTCCAGATGATGAGAACAATGTACAGTAAGGGCACAAAGTGTGAGATTCATAGAAAAGTTTTCATAAGAATATTTCCAATCCTTTTCTCACACAAGAGAAAATGGGTTAGGGGCGTTGGGTATAACTTTATGGAACAAAGGGGGCGGTGGATCAAAAAAGTTTTGAGAATCACTGCTCTAGCATATCCTCTCTTTGAAATTTCATTTTGAATCTAATAAAAATGACAAGCATAAAGACTTGTTTTCTATATATGCTGAAAATCCTTTTTTTATTGGATTTTCTAGTTCTTCTGTTGTGGGATTAATGCCACTAAAGGAATTACTGATCTTTGCTGTTGATAAGAATAATTTCAGAGTCTCTATTGTGGGAATTATTGAAGATGAAATGGATTCTCGTTTGCTGGCTTTCCACAGTAATTTCTTTGAATGGTTTTACAAGTAAAACAATTTTTTCAACGAGAGACCATTGATATGGGCTCAACGTAGGAATTTTATTATATATAGTATATATGACAAG